AAGTAAACAAAACATTTTTATTAACAAATAACTCGCCTACAAAAACGCCTGATAATTATGCACCAACACAATAGATTACCATTACCCAGTTGTCATTGGGTTGAAAATCACACCTTGCAAAGTTTAACAATTAAACGGAATCCATTATTTTAATCAGAGTGTCAACTCTTTCTCTTTTTTTGGTCATTACGGTAAGGACCTTTGTCCGAGTGAATTTCTTATCTTGATAGCTTACTGGTGTACGTAAGGAATAATTAACGAGTAATTGAACTGCTCAATCCAGAGGTCCAATTATTATACCTCGACTCATTTGGCCTGGTGTTCTCATTCTGGTTGTTAAAGTTACATCATTTCAAACATTCTAACTTCTCGCCTTCTTAAGATGTCTGCTATATTTGGTAATTTTTATTCAATCTACAACGGTATATTATTTTAATTGATATTTTCATTACTTTCTACCCAGTCTATTGATCAATTATTCAATGATTCGCTTGTTCTTTGTAGCAGAGTATATGAATTTCACTGACTCAGCAACTGAACTGATCACTAAACACTTAAAGGTTATATTTACAAGAACAAACAGGCGATAGTTGAATGTGCGAGATTTAAACCTCATTTTTTCATTTTATTATAGTAATCAATGACGTCTATATTGTGTCCAAGTATCTGCTTGGCTTACGAGATGAACAAAGATTCACATATGGTGCTCATTTCTACACTAGGACTAATGAGGAGATTATCAGAGCATAGCATGTAATAGGTTTTTTTTTCAGTCGCTTTATTTTCAAGCGTCTGTTCTCTGTTATACTAATTTTATTCTCGGCGAGTTTGTGACCCCAACTTTTACATTTATCACATGGTCAGCTATGCATGATTTCATTGTCTCTCAATCGATTACGATAATCTTCAAGCTTTAATTTTAGAAAACGGCTGATCTCGGCTTTGTGTTCTTTACTGTATATAATGGTATATACAAATACTTTTGACACGTAATGGTATATATAAATACTTTTGACACGTAATGGTATATACAAATGCTTTTGACACGTAATGGTATATACAAATACTTTTGGCACGTAATGGCATATACAAATACTTTTGACACGTAATGTTATATATATATACTCTCGACACGTAATGGCATATACAAATACTTTTGGCACGTAATAGCATATACAAATACTCTCGACACCTAATGGTATATACAAATACTCTCGACACGTAATGGTATATACAAATACTTTTGGCACGTAATGACATATACAAATACTTTTGGCACGTAATGGCATATACAAATACTCTCGACACGTAATGACATATACAAATACTTTTGGCACGTAATGGCATATACAAATACTCTCGACACGTAATGGTATATACAAATACTTTTGGCACGTAATGGCATATACAAATACTCTCGACACGTAATGGCATATACAAATACTCTCGACACGTAATGGTATATATAAATACTTTTGACACGTAATGGCATATACAAATACTCTCGACACGTAATGGTATATATAAATACTTTTGGCACGTAATGGCATATACAAATACTCTCGACACGTAATGGTATATATAAATACTTTTGACACGTAATGGCATATACAAATACTCTCGACACGTAATGGTATATATAAATACTTTTGACACGTAATGGCATATACAAATACTCTCGACACGTAATGGTATATACAAATACTTTTGGCACGTAATGGCATATACAAATACTCTCGACACGTTATGACATATACAAATACTTTTGGCACGTAATGGCATATACAAATACTCTCGACACGTAATGGCATATACAAATACTCTCGACACGTAATGGTATATATAAATACTTTTGGCACGTAATGGCATATACAAATACTCTCGACACGTAATGGTATATATAAATACTTTTGACACGTAATGGCATATACAAATACTCTCGACACGTAATGGTATATATAAATACTTTTGACACGCGTCTGATGTAAGGTAAATAGGCCGTGGTATTTTCTATTATCATTTACCTTTGTACACTTGGTCGTCGAAACTGTTTTTATATATGCAAGAGGAATTGTTACTGCGGAGAGTGACCGTAATTCTGAAACTCGCTTGTTGATATCTATATGGGTCGCCAGATTTGTGTTTTTTAAATTAAGTATAGGACTAAAAACTAGCATTTTCGTTTTGAAACTATCTTTTTCAACACGTTTCAGTAGCTTACATAATCATATTGTCATGGAAAATTGGTGTCTGCAAGGTTTCATGACCAAGTGAAAAGTTTGAAAAATAGAGTTTTTTTTTACTATGAAACTATACTTTTCAACAGGTTTCAGTAATTTGGAAATTGAAGAATTCATATCAGAATAAGTAACGATTTTCGAGATATTATTCTTAATAATGAAATTATTCCTCATGAAGACAATTACCGTAATTCACCATGTATAATACGCATTTTTTTCTAAAAAATAATAAGAAAAATTATGGATGCGTATTATGCACAGCTACAAATATCTTTAATATATTGCAGTTATCCATGGTAGATAGGTTACACCTTCCCCCTAAAGATAGCAATGGTAATATCAGCCACTTCCCTACAAGGAGACTTTTAGCATTCATTGATTGAGCAGCCAGTACTGCTTTCAATATTTCAGGAAAATAGGTTTTTCAAGTCCAGTAGTTGCTATTGCATTGTAGTATTGATGTGGGCTTCCTTCTTAATCTTTTATTTGATGTGGTGCAGAATGTCAACATTTTGATTATGTCATTATTTTCTCTTTAAGTTACATGTGCTATCCATTTTAGTTGTTGCCGCTATTGGTAGTCTTTAGGTGATGCGTTTTCTGTTATTTGGTACAGTTCTTTGTTTGTGATTCTGTAGGACCAGTCCACAGTGTTTTAAAAAAAGATGATCTTTGCTAAAACCCTCAGACTTCACTCACTCAAAGTTGTCTTTTTTAACCATTAATCTTAAAAAGTGTATCTGACAATTTAGATATAATTCTGAATAGGTTTGGTATCATGCATGACATTCGTATGAAAGTCTCAATCTGAAAAGGTTATTTAAGAATATGACTTAAGTTTTGGCTTTGTAGCAATTTGTAATGTTGGGCAAAACTACTCCTGGTACAGTTTGTTCTATGTTCAGTTTCCTTTTCTCCTATACTAAATTTGTTATAACTGATTCATACACTAAAGTATTTGATGTGCTTAGTATTTTCATGTCCTGATTTTTTATGATGGATTCAGGGTACGTTCCATCACTGCTTTCATTGATTCGTCAAATTATATAAATAAACGTATAACAAAGCGAACTAATAAAGTGTTCAATAATTATCTCGATTGATAATTATAGTATCAGAAGCAATTTAAGTTCGCAACACCAATCGGTAGTCAACTGGGAGTTTTGTGATTTCTTACTCCCATTGGTCGTCAACTTCTGTCCAGGAAGCCCTCTGCCCTTCGGCGCCATCACAGCACTGGCGACATTCATAGCTATATAGCCCACTCTACCTATTCTGTTAGATGTTCGCTGACTCTACAAGAAAGTTCACGCGTTCTTTGAAAGGTTTTGTTTTTTAATCCTACTCGATGTCTAACTTCTCTCTCTGCCAGAAAAGCCTGGTGGGGGAACCGGATTATTCGCATTCTGTGGCAGGTAGTATTGGGTTATTATATTCAACCAGTATAATCTAGAGTTACCTGATATAATTGTGTTTTACTAAGCTTAGTAAATACTAGCAGTAGAGCCAGGCGTTGCCCGGTGATGTAACAGTAAGAGATAGATCAAGTATCGACCATCATAAAGACTGAAAAATAAAATTGACAAAGATTATTGTTTAAGGTTGACGGACACGCATGTCTTAATTAGATTTTTTTTTTTTTACGAATTGGTCAAACCCAAAATCAAACAAAAACATTGAGTCTATCGATTGAATAGAATTTTAATATAGACAATTGTTTTGTAAATGGAATTTTTAAAGCATTCTGAATGTAAAAATAAAAAAAAGTGTACCAGACAATAAGAAACACTACCTGCCAAAAAAAAGGGAAGTTTTGTTGAAATCGGTTGAAAAATGTAGGAAATCCGATCCCATATATAAACGAACACACACACACACACACACACACACACACACACACACACACACACACACACACACACAACAACTCTTAATTGTTTTCAAATTGATTTCGTGCAAAAACAATTGTGTTTTTCCAATTTTTGGCGCTGTCAGAACCACTGCAAGGTAATTTTACGCAGTCCTGTGAAGTTTTCTTGAAATCGGTTGAAAAATGTAGGAAATATCGATCCAATATATAAACGTACAGACACACACACGCATAATCTGCGTTTTATAATAAGTAAGATTAGTTTACCTCGTCGTATCGGATTGCTTGCCGAAGAGACTATTGTAGTTATTTCAGTTAGTATGGGGCTTTATATTCATGTCAATGTACCAGACTAATGTCAGCGTCTTACATATTGAGTGAGAATGCCAATAAATAAGATAAAACTGAAGAAGACTAAAAATAAACATTCAACAAAAAACAATGATAAAGAAAAAACAAAGTTAAAACATCTGCCCCATGGCTGAGATAGTTGCGTATCTGAAATTGGTGTCAGAGGCCAGTGTTCAAAGTATGATTTTGAATTTACAGGCTAAGTAGGCCCACCGCATTTCAAAGATTGGCGCTATACAATCTTGCTAAACAAACTTTCTATTGTTTTTGCTTGTGTCCTTATATGCTCGGCATAACACATATTAAGAATTAAATAAAACAAGGGAAAAAATGAAAAAAAGAAAGAAAGAAAAGTCGACGCTTAGAAAAAGAAAAAGAAAGAACGAAAGACACAAAGAAAAATAGAAAAAAATTAGAAGCTAAAGATAAATTAAAGACAGGAAAAACTGATGTAGAAAGAAAGAAAAAAAGAAAGAAAAAAGAAAAAAGAAAGAAAGAAGGAAGGAAGGAAGGAAGCTAGAAGGAAAGGGAAGAAGCTGCTAAAAAATTGGAAGATGGGAATAAATAAAAAAGAGAAAAAGAAAAAGAAAGGAGGAAAGATATGCATGTGTTAAGCGGAAAAAAAACTGAAAGCAGAAAAAGTACAAAAGAAAGAACAAGGAAAGAAAGGAACAAAGAAGGAACAGAAGGAAGAAGGAAAGAAAAGAATATGCTAAGCGAAAAAATAACTGAATGTAGAAAAGAAAGAAGTTATCGAAGAAAGAAAGAAAGAAAGAAAGAAAGAAAGAAAGAAAGAAAAAAAGAAACTGATAGCGAGGGAGATATAGAAATAACAGATTGGGAAAAGAAAGAAAGAAAGAATGAAATACGGAATGAGAGAATGCATGAATAAAGGAATGAAAGAAAGAAAGAATGAAATACGGAATGAGAGAATGCATGAATAAAGGAATGAAAGAAAGAAAAAATAGAAGGAAATACGGAATGAGAGAATGCATGAATAAAGGAATGAAAGAAAGAAAGAAAGAAAGAAGGAAATACGGAATGAGAGAATGCATGAATAAAAGAAAGAAAGAAAGAATAGAAGGAAATACGGAATGAGAGAATGCATGAATAAAAGAATGAAAGAAAGAAAGAAAGAAAGAAAGAAGGAAATACGGAATGAGAGAATGCATGAATAAAGGAATGAAAGAAAGAAAGAAGGAAATACGGAATGAGAGAATGCATGAATAAAGGAATGAAAAGAAAGAAAGAATGAAATACGGAATGAGAGAATGCATGAATAAAGGAATGAAAGAAAGAAAAGAAGGAAATACGGAATGAGAGAATGCATGAATAAAGGAATGAAAAAAAGAAAGAAGGAAATACGGAATGAGAGAATGCATGAATAAAGGAATGAAAGAAAGAAAGAAGGAAATACGGAATGAGAGAATGCATGAATAAAGGAATGAAAGAAAGAAAGAATAGAAGGAAATACGGAATGAGAGAATGCATGAATAAAGGAATGAAAGAAAGAAAGAAAGAAAGAAAAAAAGAAGGAAATACGGAATGAGAGAATGCATGAATAAAGGAATGAAAGAAAGAAAGAAGGAAATACGGAATGAGAGAATGCATGAATAAAGAAATGAAAGAAAGAAAGAAGTAAATACGGAATGAGAGAATGCATGAATAAAGGAATGAAAGAAAGAAAGAATGAAATACGGAATGAGAGAATGCATGAATAAAGGAATGAAAGAAAGAAAGAAGGAAATACGGAATGAGAGAATGCATGAATAAAGGAATGAAAGAAAGAAAGAAGGAAATACGGAATGAGAGAATGCATGAATAAAGGAATGAAAGAAAGAAAGAAGGAAATACGGAATGAGAGAATGCATGAATAAAGGAATGAAAGAAAGAAAGAAGGAAATACGGAATGAGAGAATGCATGAATAAAGGAATGAAAGAAAGAAAGAAGTAAATACGGAATGAGAGAATGCATGAATGAAGGAATGAAAGAAATAAAGAAAGAAAGAAAGAAAGAAGTAAATACGGAATGAGAGAATGCATGAATAAAGGAATGAAAGAAAGAAAGAAGTAAATACGGAATGAGAGAATGCATTTATAAACGAATGAAAGAAAGAAAGAAGTAAATACGGAATGAGAGAATGCATGAATAAAGGAATGAAAGAAAGAAAGAAGGAAATACGGAATGAGAGAATGCATGAATAAAGAAATGAAAGAAAGAAAGAAGGAAATACGGAATGAGAGAATGCATGAATAAAGGAATGAAAGAAAGAAAGAAAGAAAGAAAGAAGGAAATACGGAATGAGAGAATGCATGAATAAAGGAAATGAAAGAAAGAAAGAAGAAGGAAATATGAATAAAGAATGAAAAGAAAGAGAATGAAATACGGAATGAGAGAATGAAATGAAAGAAAGAATGAAAGAAAGAAAGAAAGAAAGAAAGAAGGGAATACGGAATGAGAGAATGCATGAATAAAGGAATGAAAGAAAGAAAGAAGGAAATACGGAATGAGAGAATGAATGAATAAAAGAAAAATACGGAATGAAAATGAAAGAAAGAAGGAAATACGGAATGAGAGAATGCATGAATAAAGGAATGAAAGAAAGAAAGAAGTAAATACGGAATGAGAGAATGCATGAATAAAGGAATGAAAGAAAGAAAGAAGGAAATACGGAATGAGAGAATGCATGAATAAAGAAATGAAAGAAAGAAAGAAGGAAATACGGAATGAGAGAATGCATGAATAAAGGAATGAAAGAAAGAAAGAAGTAAATACGGAATGAGAGAATGCATGAATAAAGGAATGAAAGAAAGAAAAAAGGAAATACGGAATGAGAGAATGCATGAATAAAGGAATGAAAGAAAGAAAGAAAATAGAAGGAAATACGGAATGAGAGAATGCATGAATAAAGAAATGAAAGAAAGAAAGAAGGAAATACGGAATGAGAGAATGCATTAATAAAGGAATGAAAGAAAGAAAGAAGTAAATACGGAATGAGAGAATGCATGAATAAAGGAATGAAAGAAAGAAAGAAGGAAATACGGAATGAGAGAATGCATGAATAAAGGAATGAAAGAAAGAAAGAAGTAAATACGGAATGAGAGAATGCATGAATAAAGAAATGAAAGAAAGAAAGAAGGAAATACGGAATGAGAGAATGCATGAATAAAGGAATGAAAGAAAGAAAGAAGGAAATACGGAATGAGAGAATGCATGAATCAAGGAATGAAAGAAAGAAAGAAGTAAATACGGAATGAGAAATGCATGAATAAAGAAATGAAAGAAAGATAGAAGGAAATACGGAATGAGAGAATGCATGAATAAAGGAATGAAAGAAAGAAAGAAGGAAATACGGAATGAGAGAATGCATGAATAAAGGAATGAAAGAAAGAAAGAAGGAAATACGGAATGAGAGAATCCATGAATAAAGGAATGAAAGAAAGAAAGAAGGAAATACGGAATGAAAGAATGCATAAATAAAGAAATGAAAGAAAGAAAGAAGTAAATACGGAATGAGAGAATGCATAAATAAAGAAATGAAAGAAAGAAAGAAGGAAATACGGAATGAGAGAATGCATGAATAAAGGAATGAAAGAAAGAAAGAAGTAAATACGGAATGAGAGAATGCATGAATAAAGGAATGAAAGAAAGAAAGAAGTAAATACGGAATGAGAGAATGCATGAATAAAGGAATGAAAGAAAGAAAGAAGTAAATACGGAATGAGAGAATGCATGAATAAAGGAATGAAAGAAAGAAAGAAGGAAATACGGAATGAGAGAATGCATGAATAAAGGAATGAAAGAAAGAAAGAAGGAAATACGGAATGAGAGAATGCATGAATAAAGGAAATGAAAGAAAGAAAGAAAGAAATGCATGAATAAAGAATGAAAGAATGCATGAATAAAGAAATGAAAAAGAAAGAAAGAAGTAAATACGGAATGAGAAATGCATGAATAAAGAAATGAAAGAAAGAAAGAAGGAAATACGGAATGAGAGAATGCATGAATAAAGGAATGAAAGAAAGAAAGAAAGAAAGAAAGAAGGAAATACGGAATGAGAGAATGCATGAATAAAGGAATGAAAGAAAGAAAGAAGGAAATACGGAATGAGAGAATGCATGAATAAAGGAATGAAAGAATGAAAGAAGGAAATACGGAATGAGAGAATGCATGAATAAAGGAATGAAAGAAAGAATGAAATATGAGAAGAAATGAATATACAACGTAAAAGGAAAAGAAATTGTAGAAAATGAAATTTATGAAGAAAGAAAGAAAGAAAGAAAGAAAGAAAGGTGGAATGCAGAAGGAATGTAAGAAGGGAAGAAATGAAGATGTTAAGAAAAAGGAAAAGAAATTGAACGTGAGAAAAGAAGAAATTATATATAGAGAAAAAAAGGGAAAAAAGATGGAATTAATGAAAAAGGAAAAGAAAGAAAAATGATTTAAAGGAAGAAATGAAAATGTTAAGTGAAGAAAAGGAAACTGAAGTTATGAAAAACAAAGAAACTGATGTAGAAAGAAAGATTGAAAAAGAGAAGGAATGAAAGACAGGATAAAAAAAAAGTAAAATATTAAGGAAGTAAAGGGACAAAAAGAAACTGAATGTAAGGAAAATGAAGAAAGTGATGTAGAAAGAAAGAAAAAAGAAAGAAAGAAGGAAAGAAAAAGAAAGAAAGAAAATGAAAGAAAGAGAAAAAAAGAAAGGAGGAAGCTGCTAAAAATGGAAGTAGTAAAGAAGGAAGAAAGAGATGAAATAAAGAGAAAAAGAGAAAGAAAAGGAAGGAAGGAAAGATATGCATATGCTAAGCGGAAAAAAACTGAAAGCAGAAAAAGTATGAAAGAAAGAAAGATAGAAGCGCTGGCAGATAAGAAAGAAAGAAAGGAACAAAGAAAGGCTGACAGAAAGAAAGAAAGAAAGAAAGAAAGAAAGAAAGAAAGAAAGAAAGAAAGAAAGAAAGAATATGCTAAGTGGAAAAATAACTGAAAGTAGAAAAGAAAGAAAGAAAGAAAGAAAGAAGGGTTGGATAGAAGAAAGAAGGAAAGAAAAGAATATGCTAAGCGGAAAAAGAAACTGGTGTAGAAGGAAATAAAAATAAAAAGAAAGGAAGGAAAAAAAAAAGAAAAGGAAAGGAAAGAAAAAGAAAGATAAGAAAGAAAAAGAACAAGTGAAAGAAAGAAGAAAATATGTTAAGAAAACGAAAAAAATATATGAAGAAACAGCGATACAGGAAAGAAAAAAGGAATAAATAATGGATGAAAAGAAATTGGTAGTTTTCAAAAAAGGAAGAAATAGTATGAAAGAAAAGGATTTAAATAAAAGAAGACAGTCTGAAAGAAAAAAACAAACAGTTGGAGAACGAAAAAGAAAAGGAAGGTAGAAAGAAGACCCAACAAGCAAAAGAAAAAGAAACAAAGAAAGAAAAAAGGAAAAGAAAGGTTGATAAAGCACGAAAATAAAGAAAGAAAAGAAAAGTTAAAAGAAAGATACAATAAATATAAAAATTCTTTATCGCGAGATGAAATCATGTTCTGCAGATCTCTCCAAGCGACTCGAGTTCCATTTTGGTTCTCATTCACTTATCCTTAGGCTAAGCAAAGCTTAACTTCTATCACTACTACAGCGACGACAATTATCGCTCAATCACACACTCATTCACACAGCCATTCATTCAACTCACGCAATCATTCATTCATGAACTAATCTATCCACCACTACTATTTGTCATTTTTTGTTTATTTTTCATTCTTTCATTCCTTCGTGCATTTGTCATTATGTATAGTGGTTCCATTTCCCTACCGTCGCTGGCTGTTCCTGTTGTCGCCATCGCTGTAGTCATCGTCTGCAAGCTGCATTGTCGATTTTGCAAACGTCTTTATACACAGCCACCTTCCATGACGTATTAATTTGAATGCGACCACAACCGATTCGCTTCCTTTTACTACGACGTCTGTTTCTTTTTTCTGCCATATTAAGTGTTTTACTTACTTTTCGCCGATACTCTAAGCCCAGCAGACTCAGTGTGGAGTTGAAACTGCTCGGAGCGGCTCATTTTGTAAACACGCCGCGTTTAGGCAGCAACAACATGACAGGAATAGTGATTTCTAAATTTTTGCAGAATGTGGTGCCCAGGTAGAAGTAATTAAGGAGCCTTTAATATTATAGTTCGCATGCAAAGATTGGATATCATTGAAGTAAAATTGCTTAATAAAGTATTATATATAACTTTAAATAATTGACTGAATTATGCACATATTTTTTAGGAAATTCTAGTCCTTTTATACATGTGATTTATGATATAATTGTATTTTAAACATTTATTTAGAGATTTTACAATTTAACTTACCTAATTCCCATTCGAAGTGAGTCTCTGTTACGTTTTCTAAAGAGAGAAAGAGAACGATTTTGGTTAATTTTGTTTAGCAGCATATCAACATCTACGGGTTATTTAATGCTGAGATCTAAATATTTTGTACGTAATTTTATGCTTTCAAATACAGATATTTTGTACATAATTTTATGCTTTCAGTGTAACGGTATGTTTTTAGATATATAGTTTGTAAATCATAAAATGTATAAAATAAAATATTTTTATGTTTTTTTTAAGTGTTGCATTGATTGTCGGTTTGGTATAAAAATGTATTGTTGGTCATTTTATTATTAAAAAATGTACTGTTAATTTTTGTATGGGAGTTCACTATTTCCCCATAGCAAGGACCTTAACAGGTGCTACCACCCCGGGTCAGTGTGGACCTGGGAACAACAGCAATTAAGAGGTGATTCTACGCTCCTCAAAATCTCCAATCATCCAATCAGATGCCTTGCTGCCGGATGTAGTTTATTTTCATACACTGGACGTGAGAGAGAAAGGAGGAGTGAGCGAGTGAGAAAGAAAGAAAGAAAAAAAGAAAGAAAGAATGAGCGTGAGGGAAGGAGAAAGAGAAATATAGAGAATGGAAGGAGAGAGATAGAGATTGACAGAGAGGGGGGAAAGAGGGAACTAGTGAGTCGAACGATGGAAAATCGATCTCGGTTTATTTTTGAACTGACATTAAAATATTGTATCTACAAAAAATACTATTTATGGGCTGCCACATGACAGATTTCACAAACGAAGACCTTGATTTCCAATTTATTTGCTTTCGCTTGGCCTTTGTTCACAATAAGTCTTTACTATCGTCCACGCTGTCATCTTTGAGCGAATAACTGATGGCATTGATGCTATCTTCTCTGACTATTCTTCAGTTACTATTCATATAATGGGCGAATTCAAGGTTCGCTCTGTAGTGTCACCATCTTTGGGCACTTGAAACCACTCACTGATCTGTGTCAAGATTGATGTCAAACCAAAGACGTCCTCTGATGTCTCATTTCAATGGATAGTTACTCCGAAGCTGACTAGGATAGTTCCAGATCATTCATTCCTCTTTCAATGTTCTTTACTGTATTGAGAGTGTTATCCATTAAAAGAAGCATCAACAAAAGCCAAAATGTTAGCCTTAGCAAACACTTGAATGTTTTGTTGCCATATCTTACCGTCAGCATTTTTATTAATCGTTATCAATCTTACCGTTACAATATTTATCCTCGTAAATGGTATAGTATGAGTCCTGTTGCATCCAGAACTTCTCGCGACCATTGAAAAACTTCTCAAGAATGCTAAGATCATCTATGCACAGTAAGTTCAAGCTAAGATTTACAACGAAAGATTTGGTTCCCGCGAGTTCTGGGAAATCAATATCAAGATTCTTAACAGGCACATGCTCCGTGCCAACTATTATTAATGGCCCTTGGCATTAATCTTGATCGGAATTTGCCTCAAACTACACGCTAGACGACCGGAGTCATCCCCTAGCAGACTTCCTCCCTCTCACGGAGCAGAAGCTTTGTGGTCTAACAGCCTTGAATTTTCTACAATCTTTGAAAAATTTTCCGTTCACTATACTATGCAAAGATTAGTCCTAAAGGTGGGTCAGAGCATTGCGATACAGGAGGATTTCTTTGGTGACAAAGAAAAGAGTACTGTGCCGCCACGTGACGTCTGTCTTCCTATACGGTGGCGAATGTTGGATGGTCTTCTCAAAGATGAAGAAGAGACGCGAGGCAATGGCGATATGGTTCTACAGAAGAATGGTGAAGATATGGACCGAACGTGTGAGCAACGATGAGGTTTTAGAGAGGATGCAAACAAGGAGGAAGCTTGTACTTAACATCAGGAAGAGGCAGATGAAATTTCTGGGATATGTAATCTTGTAGCATACCTATGGAAAATAATAGGTATGACTCCATTCAGATAAATACTGTAGTAAATACTGTATGTTGGTCTTCTATCGGAGATTCGTCTCCAGTTGTTCTATTCAAACTCTCTGCCCGAAGGCAGAGAGGATCCCCAGACGAAGGGCAGAGTCTCGTCTCGAGAAACAGCTACCCGACCCCGTTTTATAGGAGGTCTACGGGGAATTTTTGGGCGAGCCTACGGGCTCGGATACCCCACATTAAATTCGGCCTTGTGTCACATCTGACCGCCTGGGGCGGTTAGTAGATATCCTGTAGTTGGAGATTCTTTGTGGAATTCACTTGACTCACGTCTGGCAATTGACTACTTCTACGCGACGCTGACGAATCTTATATGTGTTGTTCTTGTCCTAAGTATTATCGTCCATTATCAACCTTCGTGTGATTATTCTATTCAGTAACCTTCCCTACGTTACAACACGTAACGAGAAAGGAGAGACTGGAAATTCTGATACTTACAGATCGAATAGAGGGAAAGAGAGAAGAGAAAGCAACGCGTGACATACCTGGCTGGCTTAAGCAAGTGGATGACAGAACGTAATCTGGAGGTGGCAGAGGGACGTAATTTATTGAGAGCTACATTGGATAGGGTGAAGTGGAGAGCCATGATCGCTTACGAGCTGAAAGGACACGGCACATAAAAAGAAGGAAGCTGACATATCTGGGATGGAGTTACTCAATCATCACCGTCCTGCCTGATCGTATTCAAAAATCGATTATGTAGGAGGCGACCGCCTTTTCACTCTGCAGTCTTTTTTCAACAGACACAACGTCGAAATCTTATCATTGCTCTCTTGCTATTTCTATGACAAATGCTTAAATAAGCTCCACTCTTCTGTACATTTGTCATGGAAAACCTTTATAGCTATGTTTAGTTTGTTTAACAGGCACATCAACTGCTTATGGGTCATTTAATGCCAAAATTCTATTTTCTTGTGAGCTTTGGTAATTCTTTTACCAATAATGTATTGCTGATAATTTTTTTAATTTTTATTATCAAAATGTGTTGCTAGTAATTCTTTCTAATTTTTTTATATTTTCATATTTTAACCCCTATTTGAGGGCTCACTATTTGTCTATATCTGAGACTCTACCCGATGCTACCACCCTGGATCAGGGTGGACCTGGGAACAACAGCAATTAAGCGGTGTTTATATCTAGGACTTGCCATACCACATCTATGGAATAATTCTTATTTCCTTTGTATTCCATCTGTAATGAAGAAGTTCCATTTTTTTCCCAAGTCAAGTGTCAATTGCTATCTATCCTCCTTTTCATAATATTCGCATTCTTTTTGTCTCCACTCTTATTCATATCACACAACTCTAAATAGGGTGGCTCTTGAGCGCTTAGTAAAAGAAATATACTCAGAAGCCGTCAATGATCGAGGGTTTGTGTACTGCTCTTTATTCTAACTGGTGATCACACCAGATTATGCATTATCTCTCAGAAACTGTGAGTAAGGTCCGCTCACTGTAGTTGAAGTATAAACCACAGGTTGCATCTACGGGGTTTCTGTGAATGTTGAACAAACACAAGTGTGCCTGAGAAGATATCTGCAGTAGGGAATAGTTAGTAACCCCAGAAGAAGGCCATAATCAGATACGGGCGGACATGGATAGGTAAGTTCCGTGGGGGCATTCGATTTTTGCCAATGTCAGACTGACTATTCCAGTCGTAAAAGAAAAAAATGTCCAAATATTGAATTTAGTTTGGAAGCAATAAGCAAATTCCAAAGATTTTAGACAAATATTTCACAATTACTTGTGTCTCTTGCACTCAATCGCTTCACTTGATTTAAACAACCATGTCCAATTTTATAAATACCTTCAAATGAACCAACGAATTTTAAAAGCCTAGCTCAAACAATGAAGATAACCGTAGACTGAGAAATTAACAGAACCGATGATAATCATACAACTGTCCGCTACGTTTGATAAATTCAAGATTCAACGAATGTTTGATATTTTGGGCTATAGTCATTGTTGGCCACAAATGCATTCAACTGACAGATGAAGACCCAATCTTCAAGCCTCGCACAAGACATTCACTTTTGTCCAAAAGAAACAGATTTTCAAGCCCGATTACTATAAAGGCAACCGTAAATTTAAGAGCCATACAACAATTTTCTCTTTATTTTCCAATAGAAAATGCTGTTTTCTTTCTAATTTTTTTCAATATCTTATTAAATCTTTTTCTATCGAAACACCCATTTTGTTATAATACGTAGTAGACGTAATAGTCTTAAGTTATCTGATTGTTTTTTATGAAACATTGTCAATATTAATTTTCCTATCCTATCTTTGATTTTTATTCCAGCACCCAGGTTGTGTTTACATTTTATCACCATTAAGTAAACAGCAAGAATCTGAAACAAAGGATAAACTCTCGATATTATTTCATTTATCTTTTGGATCCTGTATAACAGGAAGAACATTTTACTGATTAGGCTAGAAAGCTAACCAGAAGACGTTATTCACTTTGGTTATATAATTATATTATTTATTATTTAATCATTATTGCTCGATATATTGTTTATTTTCATCTAATAATAATAACTAAGGCTCTTTATCAAGAAGTTTCTCAAATGAAACTTTCTCGTGTTTTGAATATATTTTTTTTGTTGTTGATGATATTGCATGAGCTTATAAGAGATTATCCTCCAGTCGTCTGCTTCCTTCCATTTCGCCCCGAATTCTTATGCACAATTTGTGGTTTGATGATTCACACTGGGTGGCTTCGGTTGGACTATTTGTACGACACATGCCTGCTGTCCACACACACAGAGAGCGAGAGAGAGAGAGAGAGAGAGAGAGACAGACAGACAGACAGACAGACAGAAAGAGAGAGAAAGAGGGAGAGTAAGAGAGGGAGAAAGAGAGAGAGAGAAACAGAGCGAAAGAGAGAGAGAAAGAGAGAGAAGAAGCGAGAAAGAGAGAGAGAGAAAGAGAGAGAAAAGACAGAGAAACAGAGCGAAAGAGTGAGAGTAAGAAAGAGAGAAAGAGAGCGAAAGAGGGAGAGTAAGAGAGGAAGAAAGAGAGAAAGAGAAAGAGAATGAGAGAGAGAGAAACAGAGCGAAAGAGAGAGAGAAAGAGAGAGAAAGTGTGAGAGTAAGAAAGAGAGAAAGAAAGAGAGGGAAAGAGAAAGAAAGAGAGAGAGAAAGAGAGAAATAGAGAGAGAAAGAGAGAAAGAAAGAGAGGGAAAGAGAAAGAAAGAGAGAGAGAAAGAGAGAAATAGAGAGAGAAAGAGAGAAAGAAAGAGGGAAAGAGAAAGAGAAAGAGAGAAATAGAGAGAGAAAGAGAGAAAGAAAGAGAGGGAAAGAGAGAGAGAGAGAGAGAGAAATAGAGAGAGAGGAAGAGAGAGGGAAAGAGAGAAATAGAGAGAGGGGGAGAGAGAGACAGAGAGAGAGATAAACGATTTCATTTACAAATAACGAAAAGAAAACAACGTTCGAACAGTAACAAATTTTATTAATTAACTAGACTACGTTTTGGTCACTGACAGTTCAGGTTATAAGACATTCAAGTTGATTCAACATTCCATTGAAATCAAAGTTAATTTTATTATAATTCAGTTAAATATTTCAATTCGTTCGTATCATCTTTAGTCTGCTTTACAAGTTCATCTTTAACGTTTTACTGATTGTTTAAAGCTTAAGAACCTTCGGGATAAACTTGAACTTTAAATCAGATTAACTTAAAAATATTTTTTAATATACCAAAAAATATTTTAAAATTGTGTTCACATGAAAATATTTTTTTTTTAATGCCAAAAAATATTTTTTTTAAATATTTAAAATATTGTTTGTCTAAATAAAGCTGAAATATAAATCATTACTCTACCTTACTCAGTTGTTTAACATCAAAATGGGATCTCTTTGTCTTTAACTTAAAAATATTTTAATTAAGAAAATTGTCTGTTTGAAGAATGTTAAAATAAAAATAAGCAACACGCATTTTTAAATCTTATTCACTTAAATCAGATTAACGCACCACACAAGAACGAACTCAATCACAGACTTTTAGTATTTAAAAGAAGATAGATAGATAGATAGATAGATAGATAGATAGATAGATAGATATATACGCAGAGGCCGGAATAGATAGATAGATAGATAGATAGATAGATAGATAGATAGATAGATATACGCAGAGGCCGGAATAGATAGATAGATAGATAGATATACGCAGAGGCCGGAATAGATAGATAGATAGATAAGGCGACAGAAGGAATTGAAATCTTCGCATTGACTTCAGTGGCTATTAAGGTTTTTCTGTGAGTATATATTCTACAGTGCTGCCGCGACTGGATGATTTGAATATGTTATAGTGGAACACACCTATTCTATAGTTAATAGACTCTCCCACCTATAATAAGTAGTAGTAGTAGTAATAGTAACGAGTCAGTCGCGGAGTTGGTCAGTCTGTCGATGTCGGACGATCATTAGTCGGATATTAAAGTATCAGCGACCACCACTAGATATCTCTGCGTCATTACCTATTATATCAAGTTCCTAACGTTTTGTACGTCGAACCTATTTTAGGACCGACTTAGTACAACTACAAGCCTCCACTGTGAAACTACTCTACAACAGAATACCAACTGGGAATCACCTCATCATCATGTAGACCCGCATGAATCCTCACGTCTTCCGGTCTTCACGATTATCCACCGCAACTAATATTTCTTCAGGTTGGCATTCTCTCTCTTCACATATATTTTGAACAGGTGACTAATGCTAGTTTACTCATTTTATTAGGTCCACGACAGAACAACACTGGTAAGTTAATCCTTGCTTCTCCAGGAATGCTCTGAAAATCTTGTTCTTTCCTAGATGACTTGTGAGCTGGGAGAGCTTGCTATTTTTTAGGGTTTTTTTCAAAGATAGATTCAATGCAACACCTAACATATTTTATACGCGCCATATATGTAATTTTTGAGATGTTCTGTCAATGTAGATGAGACGCTATCCTAAAGAAAGACAGAAACGGCTCAGGCTTGGAAGAAGTCGCGTTTCATTTTGATCGGTGTAACAGATTTCCAGACATTGACGTAGAAAACTCCGATTTTAGTTACTGCATTACTTTAGACTCCCTATCTAACTTCACAGACTTGTTTTAAAGTATTCCATTTAAGGATCACAATAGGAGGGCTCGTTCTCCATCACTATCGTCATCTTCTTCATTATCATTAGGGTGAATAAATTGCACAGGTTTCCACGGCTCTTTCTCTCTCCAGTCTTCGTGAATATGCATTTTCTTATTAGCTGGACAATCTCCACATAGATGTAGAAGAACCTTGAGGCAACAAAAATGTGGTTCTACAGAAGGATGTTGAGAATACCATGGGGTGAACACATGAGCGACGACGAAGTTTTAGAGAAAATGTAAACAAAAAAGACACTTTTACTTAGAATCTGAAGGAGACAACTGAAATTTCTAGGTCATGTAATGAGAAAAGCGAGCTTGGAGAATTTGACACTCATAGGGAACATTTAAGGCAAGAGGGGGAGGAGTAAGCAGCGAATAACTTACGTAACGTGCTTCTTTAATTGGTTGCCAGAACAGGGAGTAAGAACGATAGTAAAAAGACAAATCTTACAAAGATCTACAAAGAACAGGATGTTGTGGAGAGTCATGATCGTCAAAGTCCTGAAGGGACATGGCACATAGAAGAAGAATCGATATTTATTTGCATGTGGTTCTACAGAAGGATGCTGAGAATACCATGGAGTGAACATGTGAGCAACGACGAAGTTTTAGAGAAGATGGAACCAAAAAAAAATGATATATATTTAACATCAGAAAGAGTTGGAATTTCTCGGATAGAAAATGAGGAAAGAGGGTTTGGAAAATACGACATTCACACGACATATTGCAGACAATAGGGATAGAAGAAAAGAGCTTATAAACTACTTAACGAGCATGTGTAAGTGGATTGCAGAACAAGGTTTAGGAATGATAACAAAAAGAGAAAATTTACTAAGAGTTATAGTGTGAGGTAACCGCTTGTAGAAGTCACAGTTACAAGCACGTATACTCTAAGGAAGTCCTACTTCGAAACTGAATTTACCAGACTGTATATATATATTAATATTGCCACTAACCGCGTTTCTGGATCTACTAACCGTATTACCAATTGTATTATTGTGTAAATACATTTATTTGTTATATTTAATTCCTGCGTTTGTCATTCATTGGGGACCGAATTTCATCTCGGAATCCACAACAATAACAAAAAGAGCAAATTCACTAAGAGCTATAAAGGATAGGAAATTGTGGAGAGCCATGATTGTCAACGTCTTGAAGGGACACAGCACATCGATGAAGAAAGATGCAAGTCTCTCTCTTTGGAAGACTCCAGCAACTGTATAAAAAAAATCTGGTGTCTTCATCATGGTGTCATACCATGTTTTTTTTTTGTTTCATTATACAGCGTGATTACGACATTATCAGTTTCGTTTGGAATGTCTTAAGCCAATAGAATATGTTTCATTTTTTTTTCTTTTATGTGTCGAGTGAAAAGCTTTTTGAAAAGCCCACAAACACGAGGACGGTTTCCAGGCTCGCACTCCTTGAATGATACTTCTGACTGTGAGGATTTAAGCGACAGTCGATCGATTTTTGTTTTTAAGTCATCCTGGTTTCTCTGTAGACTGTTCTCGACTCTTAGTCGTTAACAACAGAGGAACATGGTATTATATATAATGTAGTCAACATAACACGACACATTCTCATATTTAAGATGACATTTTATTGAACTCCTGACATTATTAATTACTGTCGGCCATTGTGTATGTGCGTGGTTTGGGACCTCATCTCAGACATAGACCTTACATTCATTGTGTATTTGTAGTATATTCTATTTCCTACCAAATCTCAACACACCCCATCAGGCTTTATAAGTACTAATGAATATTCCGTATTTGTAATTAGTGTCTTCAAGAAATTTCAACAATGAAAAAGTGTTGTTTATTTCTCCTATAGTGTTGAAATCGTAAGGTAGCTATTGATAGCATTTGCCGGAGTCTTCCAAAGAGAGAGACTTGCATCTTTCTTCATCGATGTGCCATGTCCCTTCAGGACGTTAGCAATCATGACCCTCCACAATTTCCTGTCCTTTATCGCTCTTAGTGAATTTGCTCTTTTTGTTATTGTTGTGGATTCCGAGATGAAATTCGGTCCCCAATGAATGACAAACGCAGGAATTAAATATAACAAATAAATGTATTTACACAATAATACAATTGGTAATACTGTTAGTAGATCCAGAAACGCGGTTAGTAGCAATAATAATATATATATACAGTCTGGTAAATTCAGTTTCGAAGTAGGACTTCCTTAGAGTCTACGTGCTTGTAACTGTGACTTCTACAAGCGGTTACCTCACACTATTACTCTACCTCCAACTCAATCACAATCTCTTTCTCTGACTGACTCTGGGTATTTAACGGCAGAAGTCCAAGTACACACTGGTCGAGTCCACTTGTATGAAAAAGGGGTGAACTCGATAGCAGTTATCATTTCTAAACCTTGTTCTGCAATCCGCTTACACCTACTCGTTAAGAAGTTTATGTTGTCTTTTCCTCTATCCCTATTGTCATCAATATGTTGTGTGTGTCGCATTTTCCAAACCACCTTTCCTCATTTCGTACCCGAGAAATTTCAATTTCTATTTCCTACCAAATCTCAACACATCCCATCCCATCAGGCTTTATAAGTACTAATGAATAGTCTGTATTTGTAATTAATGTCTTCAAGAAATTTCAACAATGAAAGATTGTTGTTTATTTCTCTTATAGTGTTGAAATCCTAAGATAGTTATTGATAACATTTAAATACTGTAGATGGTAAATTTATACCGTTTATTCCGACATCCAGTGTAAAACATATATATATATATATATATATATATATGTGTGTGTGTGTGTGTGTGTGTGTGTGTGTGTGTTTATACATGTATGATTTTCTGATAGCCGTTTTTTATCGTGGTGGAGATGCTTGCGTGATCCAATGACTTTGAGGGCGATGCTGTCAGGAGTTCTAAACTCTTTGTAGGGCCACCCTTCGTGGCAAGGTCGATGACGAGGGTCCAGATGAAGCGCGACCAACACCAAAGATCCCAACGGTGGAATAAGCGGATGACTATTATAACAGATCACACCAGTTGAACCAGCGGATGGAGAGGGCTACGCATGACGGACATACTATAGAAGGCGCTACTCAAAATTATAAATGCCAGGGGCAGTCCGTTGTAGTTTCATAACCAGATTCTGCATCTCATTCTATATGTTCCGTATAGAGAGGTCATGAAATCAAATGTGTGGATTACTTCCTGGCAAGTTGCGGTCTAACTTAAACAAATTCACGCCATCAGCACTTTATACTACTCTGATTTTATTTTACTTCTAACCAAATCTTGCA